GTCTCGTCGTCACGTTACTAGGTTTCGTTTTTTTTTTTCTTTTATTCTCTGTCTCTCTCTCTCTCTCTCTCTCTCTCTCTCCTTCCCTCCTCGACCTCGCGAACTTGGAGCGACTCGACGGAGAGAAAAAACTCGCCACCTTCTCGCCTATTCCTCGCGATAGGCGGAAGAAAAAAAAAAGAAAGAAAGAAAAGAGAACGAAATCTCGAGCAATAAACCTTGCCATAGTTTTACACAATGTGAACGGGGTCTATTTGTTTTATGGATTGTTTAGGGCGGAACCAACAGGGGGGCCAAAGATATCATCGCGACGCAAGCGGAGGGCTGGCAGAGCCTCCGAGTAAGTAATAAAAAAACAAAAAACAAAAAAATAAAAAAAAAAAGACAAAATAAAAAGAAAAAGACAAAACGAAGTATGCGAAATCGCCGAGACATCCTGACCACCATCCCTGACCCCTCCCCCCACTCCTCCTCCACGATTCTGTATTTAAAAAACAGCTGAGAACGTTTGTGTGTCACATTTTTTTTTTTTTTACACTCGGTGTTATCCGTACACGTAAAGAACGCAAATACACAAATGTAACTTTTTGTCCATGTAACGTAGACCTGTCGGTGGCCCTAATAATCTTATCTCCGCCTTTCTCTACCTGTGCCTGCAACGTGTCGGCGATTACATTATTATCTGTATTACGTGTGAATCTGGGGAATTAAACGTGTCCACCTCATCGCTAAACCACCGTAACACACTTGTATACTCTATCGTATCCTCTCACTCTCTTTGTCTCTTCATTTTGTCTCTCTTTCTCTCTGTCTCTCTGTCTCTCTTTGTACACGTGTACATAATGCAGCCGCGTGCAATGAAACGTACCTCTTCTTCATGTCAGTCTCTTTATCGTGCCAGTTGCGTTCGTCTCGATCGAGTCTCGTCACTTTTGTTCACTTTTGCAACGGTTTTACGAAGGATAGTAACGGTCGTTGTCGGATCGAGATAGCTGCTATCGGCCTCACTCGATTAGACGCTTTTGCTTCTCTTCTTTCGGGCGGACGCTCGAAAGTTGTCAGCCGCGAAAGGAAGAATTATTCACAGATTAATATTTCTGTTTTTTTTCCCCCTCCCCCCTCCCCCCTTTTCTCTCCCCTCCGAGCGCGATCGGTGAACCGAGAGATCTCGCAATCTTTGTCGAACGATAACTTACTTCCTCCTTTTCCTCTCGATCAAAACACGGTTTTCCTTGATATAAAAACCTCATATTTTTTTATCCTCTCGCGTTTTCATATATTTGGACATGATATTTAGACATAACTCGGAAATTTATTAATAAAGGTGCTTCCTCTTTATCGCGTGTTTTCCGTCTGGCCGACGAATTTTTGCATAAATTTGACGTCTCCGGTTCTCCTTGATAATAACGTAAACGCTGGACCGATATGCGCGTTTCGACACATTCAAATAAGTGAAAGTTCAACCGGAATATACCGAAGATCCAGTGACTCGAGGGAAGCTGTCGCCGGGACACCCTGTAGAAATATCGTGGAGTTGAGGAAAATACGGGTCAATATGTCGCCGCTGAATAAAACGAATTTTATCAACAATACCGCACACATCAACAATACCGCTATATAACGACACACGATAAATCAAATTCAACAATGGCTCTCTCTGTGCTCTCAGTAGATCGCGAAGGCCGTCTCATTGTCAAAAACTCGTCGGCTTTCATACAGATGTTTCACCGCAAATATTTATCGAAAGTTACGTAACGAAACCAAACCGCGAGCGACATTACGAGAGTACTATCTTGAAAAATAGGTATACACAAGTATCTCGAGATACACGTTTCCGCCAATTACCTGACTGTATAGAGTGTCCTCAGATAAATCGAGACTTTGCGCGTCCGAATTGAATAATTCATGGGAATGGAGAAAGGATCGTGCGTCTGAAATTGCATTCTTTCCGAGTTACATGCTTTTCCGTCTACATGGAATTTCGCAAGAATTTTTCAAAAATTTTCACGAAAATTCGCTCGTACAAGTCTTTCGTAGCTTTCCTTCTCAACTGATTATTCAAATCAGTTCCTTTACATCCGACGTCTTGTAGAAGAATTTTTTATCTCAATGTGCAGATTATATTATCGATATATACTTATCACAACGTTAAATCAATTTGCATCACAAAAACACCATCATCGTGCTATTAAGATCAAGTTGAAATAAGACAAAAATGCGATTCTGACTCTTGCGAAACTCTACTACTGCGGAAGTGAAAACGTTTGCAATTCGGAAAACACGAATTTTTGGGCTGATAAAAGAGATTATTCGAGCTTCTCTTTTCATTCCCACAGAATGGAATGCGTCTTATATAGGGTGATCAAATTGCTCGATCAGAAAAAGAGTCCAAGAGAGATCATTCAAGCGGGTGAGAGGTGACTCGAAGATTCAATTTTTTTTTATACGTTTTTTATTAACATGCGAATAATTTTGCAAAACTAAACGATATTTTTGTATCTAAAACTTGTTTCATAAAATAAAATTATATTGACATATTTAATATAATTAATTTTGTAATAACTTTTTAACATTTAATATACACACAGGGCAAGCCTTTCATTACAAATCGATGTAACTATTTTTGTACAGCGGAAAAGAACAAACAGCAACGAGAAACATGGCATATTTTCCCGGCAAGCAGGATCTTGATTGCTAATTATATATTATATACCAAGGGATTTTAATTAAAAGGGATTTTAATTCGATACCAAGATATTTGATTTATCGAATTGTTATAGAATCGTTACATTGGAAGTCTGCTAGTAGTGGCAGATAGTAGTTGGTGATACAATTATTTGAATTTATTTCATAAAATTATTTCATAAATTTATTTCATAAAAATTTAGCAACCAAGATCCTGCTTGCCGAGAAAATGGCTATGTTTCGTTGTTGTTTATTAACATTGTATTTATATTAATGTACTGGAAAAGAATAAATTTAACGTTAATCCTCTTGACACATGATCTTATTATTTAAATTTACTTCAATTATATCAAAGAAAAAAAAGTCCAAAAGTACGTTTTCATGGAAACAGTAAAAAAAAAATCAAAAGTATCTATTCTCTCTTTTCTGATTCAAAAAGAATATGTCTGGTCACCTTATCTTGTGGAGCATGGGGATCCATTTTCAGGGACACCCTGTACGCGATTTCGCTACCATGACTTTTTTTTTCTTCCACGCAGAATCGTGATTGTTGCGTGTTCAATTAACCCGAATGACCTCACGTGCATGATTCGATTGAGAGTTCTCTCTCTCTCTCTCTCTCTCTCTCTCTCTCTCTCTCTCTCTCTCCTCCCTCTTTCCTCTTTCCTCCCCATGCCACCGGTCTTTGGATTGTCGTTTCGTTTATGACGGAGAATAACTCCCACGGATTCGCTCTTGACCGACGATGAGAGTACGACACGAGAGATCTGCTCGTTTATGTGAACGCGCCGGAATAATAAGGGGGAGCAGCCGGATCTTTTAATACGGGATGGTAACGGGGTCGCTTTCATCCAGCGTAATCGAGTATTTATTTTCCTCCGATTACGCCAATAAATCCACGCTCTCTTCAACGCTAATCATCGCCTTTGCCCTACCCTTCCGCATCTGACCCCCCGTCTTTCCCGGCGAGTCAGAGATCACGATGTCACAGATTAACGCAGACAATCGTTGTCATATTAATTGTGCCGATTCTTTTTTTTTTTTTCCTTTCTTCTCTCTCTCTCTCTCTCTCTCTCTCTCTCTCTTGGGGGAGGTGGTCGCTTGGATAAACCTTCTTAACGGGCCGAATCGTTGAGGGCCCTCCCGCCCCGCCCCCCCCCCCCTCACAACCCCCCAACCCCCCCTTGATTGCAAGCTCACGTCTGTCTTTCTCTGTGTCATTCGGCAATCCCGGGGCGACGGTCCCTGAGAGGGACGCGCACCCGAGACTGTCGCGTCTCCGTTATCCCCTGTTTCAGAAACCCCGCGGAGATGTCCCACACCTGCCGCGGCACGATTTCCTTACACGGGGCCTTAATACACACGGTGGACGCCTGCACCTTCGTCGTGAGCAACGGCGGCACGCAGACCTTCCACATCAAGGCGTCGACCGAGGTGGAGCGGCAGCAGTGGGTCACAGCCCTCGAGTTGGCGAAAGCCAAGGCTATCCAAGCGATGGAATCTGGTTTGTACATACAGCGATTGCGCGATCTGCCACTTGATACTTCATATTTATCATACTCGGTTTATTCTGAAAATCTCCCGACACTTTTTTTTTTTTTTTGTTTTTCCATCATCCAAATCGCGACAGGAGGATGTGGAGGACTGGCGAGAAATACCTGAAACGATAAAAAAAAAAAAAAAAAAAATCGATTGTGTTAAGTAGTACTCAGCAATGTGTCAAGTCACGAAAGCAAAAAAGTATATTGATTTGATTAACGTAATTAGGATGAAATTGTAAAGTTTTGCTTATAGAATAATTTAATTTAATAAATTAAACAAAACTTTAATTTTCTGACGGGCAGTTTCCTACTTTTGTGTCTGTGTTAAAGTAAAAATCAACTTGATAAAAAATAAATAAATAATTTCAAAGTAATATATAAATAACGATTATATAAATTTGTTTTGAAATATAATCGAATTTAATTCAGTCTATAAAGAGTTAATTTTATTATTTATGAATAAACTTTCGCTTATTCATTAATTATCTGTCTCATGAATATATTTTTTATATCCTCATTTATAGAACGTTGAAGATTAGACTTTGCCCTATAAAATTCTTAATTTGGATCTAATTGAGATAATAATAATAATAATAATTTTATTTGTTTTGCGGATATGAGATATGTCGAGTTACGTAAAGCTAATATTAATCTTTGAGACTTTCGTTAATTCCAATCAACCGCTGTGCACGAGGATATATTATTAGAATGTTCCGATAAACGATGTTATAAATGATGAATGGCTCTTTCTCCTGTCTTACTTATTACTTATAGATTATTATATTAGACGCGCGCATGATTTATGAATTTCTTTTGCCTCGCAAACGACAGGTATAATATCGATGCGACGCGTTCTGCCTATACATTTGCATGACTTGTGTCCCATCTATCCTTTTTTTCCTTTATCTTATCGAGCTTTAGTACTTCGGCGACGTTATGCGGCGAAATCTCTTTTAGAAGAGGAGGAGGAGGAGTATCAAGACAACGACAATCAAAACGTGGAAACCGCGTCTGTGATCAAGGATCTGACGAGACGACTGGACGATCTGCAGGCATGTAATGACTTGATATTCAAGCAGGGAACTGCGCTTCAACGAGCTTTGGCTGATTTGGAAATGTTAGAGCCTCTGTCCTCCGAGCTGACGGCGAAATTCAAGACCGTCAACGAACGAGCCACGCTTTTCCGGATCGCGGCGAATGCTATGATCAGCGTAAGTCGCCAAACTTTAGCGATTGTCTCTGTGAAACGGACAGATATCTGAACTGATTTCCCATCTCGTACACCGATTCAACGAATTTTATCGTAGTGGCACAACCCGTATTTCTTGTATTGTTCAATCATTCCTCTATGCAAAGTTCTTTTTTTCTCCTTCAAGTTTTTTTTTTTTTTTTTTTTTTTTCCTTCGAGATGTCATCGTTCAATCATCAGCTAAAATGAGCTTGTTTAATACAAAGGCTTTTTTTAATACAAAGGATGTCTATTGTTATCTGCAATCACCTTTGGAAAAGGAAAAAAAGTGTTCGTCGTTTTTTTTTCAGAAGATAGTAACATTGTTTGTATTGTTTTTATAAGACTTGAATAGACTCTTGAAATTGTTTTGCGAACATCTTGTAAATCTTATCGTAACCAAGCGTACGACATGACTTAGCGAGTGATTCATTTAATGAGAGATAGAAGAGGGGAGGATTCGTAATGTCCACAGTAACAGTCAGTAATTATGCTTATACGAACAATGTGTCTAAAGTCTATGTAGAAATCCGCAAGATTTCGCGGAGCAGAGTTCAATTCTCATGCCAATCAGGATCGGCCGGAGTTTCAGTCACGGAATTGACTTTGGCAATGGCATTTTCTCCGCTGATGTGATCTAATATCGATGTGATCTCACACGAAACGCAACTCGAAAACAGATTGAACACGTTGTTGCAGACGAGCAACGATTACTTGCAATTAGCCCAGCAACAAGAGCCTAAGTGGAAGAAGATGCTACAGCACGAGCGTGATCAGAAGGTGCGGATAGAGAAGATGGTCGAACAGTTGGCCAGGCAACATTCCCACCTTGAGGAAGCCGCGCAACATGCGATTCCTTCGGCGACACTTGGGGGAGGACACAGATCTTCACGTAAATAAATTTATACATATTTTTTTTCTCCGTTTTTCTTCGTTAACACGTTTGTTCGCGCAAATAGCGTTCTTTGATAGCGTTCTTAACTCTTACGTTCCTTCAGACATCGACGATTTTATTTTAAAATACAACTTGTTTTTAACTCGTCAACATTTTATTTACGAGAATAACTACGGCAAACTTTAAAATTAAATTAGATGCTTCAAATCTACCGGATGTGTTAATTGGAGTTAATGTTTCTTCGGCGAAAAAATATCGAGTAAATAAATCTCCATTAATTTTTCAATCTTTCAAGCCTCCTGTAGATGGCTTCAGATTAAAAGGCACTACTTGAATTTAAATGCAATTTTATTATTACTATTATTTGGTTTTAAAATTTAAATCGCGAAGCTCTTCCTTGTAATCCGTGTCTAAAAAATTATTTATCGCTCGATACTTTCGCTTTTCAAAGAATTCGTTATTGAGGAATACGTCTGGTTAATTTGAATAATCTATAAATAACATCTTTTGCCGTCACTATGTGACGAGAAGTCTTAAGTCTTCTAGCAAGCGGAATTTTAGAGGCAAATACAGAGGCTCTCTTAACCAGTAAAAGTTAATTAAATCTTCCAGCGATTAAACAGTTTGACAAACCAAGGTCTGAGATCCTCTACGGAACTAGAAATTATATTTTTACATTCGGCCTCGTATTTCGGCGTTGGCATTTAGGCTAGCCCAGCGTGTGCACTCGAGCGTTCTATTTCCCTCTTTCTCTCTTCTCTCTCGCACGAAAGATCGTATCCGTCCGTGAATCTCGACGTTTGTGCGGGGCAAATAGGGGAATTCGAATTTCGGCGCCTTCAATTCCACTTGCCCGTGCCCGCGCTAGGTGGCCTCCGATGCAATGCGGCGCGTCGTTATCGCGTGATTACGTCAACCGCCGGTCTACGGTATGCATCGTCCGTAACGTCAGCTATATACATAGGATAAAGACGCTCG